TTTCTGGTGTTTTTTCGGAGATGTAAATATGGACATCATCCAGAACAAATTAAACCCAACATATAGGGCGCCTTTTATAATTGTCTTTGTTGAGTGTACAAAAGGTGTGTCATGAGATATATCTCTAGAGCCTAGGGGCATGTTTGGATATTCATACGGTGCGCTAGAAGTATATAAGGTGTAATAAGAAATTATCTTTTTCTAAGGGTGTTGTTCACTACACGTCATATGTAGCAATCAGATATCCTATGGAAATCTCAAAATATCTTTAATATTGATTGTATTTTAAACTTCAGACGCTTTTATTATACACCAAACCATTTTATCATAATGGCCCCCCATTTTTGCAAAAAAAAAAAATGGTCTGAATTCCAATACTTAGATAAACATTTGATGCATTTTTTTTTGTCTTTCCTTACCATGGGAAAACACAATTCCAAATTTCAATCTCTGAATTAACCTCGTGATAATATTTTAACTTTTTGACAATAAGTTAGAAGAATTTTGTCTATTTTTAATAAACCTTATATTATGAGTCATTAATAAATCAATTTCACAATAAACCATACACATTTGTCATTTAATAATAAGATCAAAATAAAAGAACTATTGTTTATATCTGAATACCAAAATGTCAGATATATAATTTTAAAATTTTATATCAAACCCACAACAAACCAAAATATAAAATGTCAAAATATCAAAATATACAAAAAAGACAACTAATGTGTATATTTGACGCTCGTGTTCCTCCTATGCCGCCTATACTATAACACATGATGTGCCTCTGCTAAGACTATAGAGTGGCCATCTAAGGCGTGTCTTCTTCAAAGTCGCACCAAATTATGACCCTACTTGTTAATCTTCTAAGATCTCTTGATAAATTGGCATCGGGGGATCTCCATATACATCTAGTGTCATAAAAATGTGATAAAACACATATATAAACATTTTAACAATATTCATGAGTACAGGTGAAAACATCCAAAGAAATCACAAAATACAAAAGATGAGTAATAGAGAATTCGTTAGGCAAATAAAGGGACCATCCAGTCAAGGTAGGACCAAAACAAGTCAAAAACATGGCAACCTTCCTTACTCATTCTCTCCTGAAAAAGACGCAAGCTCACTAAGCGAGCATAGGTGGTTGAGATTACTTTCAAACCAAGCTAATTCAGGCATAAGTGAGGCACATTGCCAAGCAAGGTGACAAACTCGATGGGTGAAACGAAGTGGTTCAGAGACCCCTTTATTAAGTAAATTCAAGATGGTGCAAGGATTTTCTTGATTTGCAAACATTGAGGCTCACTAGGTGAGATAAGGAGACCAAAGTCCACTTGGATGAGCTGAACATGAATTACCAATGAAGAAAAGCAAGCTCGTTTGGTGAGCTAAAGGCCTCATTAGGTAAAATCACCATATCAAAACTCTATAAATATAAATCTCAACCATTTCATTTAAAATATATATATATATATATATATATATATATATATATATATATATATATATATATATATATATATATATATATATATATATATATATATATATATATATATATATATATATATATATATATATATATATATATGTATATATAAAATAAAATTCAATATATTTCCATTATGTAACAAGAGATAATTGAGAGGGATAAATCTCAAGAGAGGTATTGAAAATCTAAGGTGGAAGCTTTGTGCGTCTGAGAAATTGTCGTGGATGTTATCTTATCTCTTTCTTCTTGATCAACATTGTAAAGCTACTATGAGTAAGAGTGAGTAAATTCTCTTTTGTTTGCGGTTAGATGTAGTTATTCTAATAAGCATGTATTCATCTTGATCATGGTGTTATATAAGTTTTAGTTATTTATTAATATTGATGATTATCTCTGTTTTTAATGTTTGTTATGAATTAGCTACTTATAACTTGTTATAATGGTTTTGAATTAATATTAAAAAATACATTTCTTAACTAGATCAAATATTTTTATATGTTAGATGTTAAACTCTAGACACAAATTTATGTTTAACATTCACATATATTGTCAAAAGTTAATGTAATTATATTGGTTAACTGACTAATAAATTGTTTGTTAAACAATATGGTTGATTTCATGTTGTTGTTTAGACATAAACAACAAACACAAAGTGATAGGTGATAATATTAACGGATGGATAGGAATATATTTAAAGAGGAAACTTTATAGACAAAACTTTTGCTATTTGAAGGGTTTATTGTTGAAAGAACCTCTTTTGGAGTAATATATTGTGTACCTGGAATTCTAAATATTGCATGACAAATTAGTGTTAGTGGATGTAAAATCATATAAAGTTTTTTGACATTCAAAGTTGTTAGAAATGCTTAGAGCCTAAACTGGCCTAAGATTTGGTATTAGAAGGTTGAAATTTTTTTAGGTTAATTATTTTATTTTTGAGATTTGATTATGATTATGTGATTAAAGAGTTATGTATACTATTGAAATTTTAGACTCCTTAAGATTTAAAAATGAATCAAACCTTTTGACGCCTCTTTAAGGTGTAGGGATTTTTGTTTATTTACTTTGTTTTAGATATGTGAATATATATAAGCAGGGAAATTTTTGAAATCTTGTTAAAACAAAGTAGACTATGGCGAATTTTTATAGAAAATTTCAGGGAAACTTTCTTATTGTCGAAAACAATTTACTGTTATAGCAAGGAAATCCTAAGGATTATCTAAGGGGTTGAGATGTAGGGGTTACTTGTAGAGCAAAACTTTGAGAAATTATATACTTTAAGTGTGGCTAAGTCAAACTAATTAGAAGATCTTAGTTGTTGGAAAACAAGATGTTGTAAGATGGAGTAAAATCATTAAAAAGTGATAAGAAACCACAAAATTAATTAAATAGATTGTCAATACTTTTATGACTTTATTAAATAGATTGTCAATACTTTTATGACTTTATTTCTATTTCTGCTATGGGCGATTGAAAGCCACAACAATTTGCACTAAATTAATTGTGTCACTCTAAAAGTATTAAAGTCAAATATAATATTTTTTCAAACTTGTTATGTTTTTCAAATTTCTTTTAAAAACATATTGATGTGAGCAACACTTTTGAAAAATTAAAGTATGATAAAATAAATTGCTTACTTAAGAGCATCTTTAGTGGGAGTAAACTAAATGGGTAAACTAAGATACTTTTTGTGGGACCAAAATGATTTGTAGGATTTAAAAAATTTATAGTTTTTGAGTAGTTTTTACTTTAATAGTGGTTGTCTATAAGAAACCAAAACTTGACCCCACATGGTATTAAATGGTTAATAAAAATCTATTATTTATGTTAAATAATTAATAAAAATTTATTATTTATGTTAAATAATGAGTTAGAGTACGTTGCTTGTGTAGAGCACGTAAACTAGTTTTAGAGCATCCCATATGCCATGTCAGCACTACTATAATGCAAATTCCTTATTACTAACGTAAGCTATAAAGAATTTTGGTTTAACAACCCTGCACTAAAGTTGCTCTAATAGATTATAGAACAACAAAATATCTCTATTCTACTCCAATGTTTTATCCCTCAATAAAGTTGACCATCTATTCAAGGCTAAATATTAGTTTCTTTGACTTTTACTAGCATTTTTCCAAGTATATCTATAGTTTTTATTATTACTAACTGATCTGACCTGATCAGGAGGGGATCACGGACTGACCACACTCTGTTGGGTTGCTACCTGTTCACCGGGGTGAGAAAGAGGAGGGGGTGTACCTGCAAGACACTCCGATGTCAAAGTAAGAAGTTGGACAGAGTGGAAGCAATAGTACAGAAAAAGGGGCAAGAAGAGTTACCTGACCCTCTTGAGGAAGAGGGTATTTATAGAGAGACCCCAACGCTGGGCCAACGGTCATTCGAGGTGGGCTGGATGACCAGGCCCAACCCTAATGACTGCTAGGGCTTACGTGGCGTAGTGAAGACCAGGACGTGGTCTTCGCCCTAGTTCAACCGCTCCTAGATCCCCGGAAAGTGGGTTTGACCTGCTCTTTCGGGGGTGGGCAGCTGGCCGGTGACGTGTCCCCGCGAAGGGGAGCACGTGGAGAACGTGCGCCGAGCACGTAATTCTTCCCGCGGAGGGGAGCACGTGGAGAACGTGCGCCGAGCACGTTATTCTCCCCGCGGAGGGGAGCCCGGGCGGTTCCCCGGAGCGCGTTATTCTCCCCGCCGAAGCGGGGAGCCAAGGGCCGCGCTTTGGTGAGCCGGGGGGGGGGGGGGGGGTTCTGCCCGTCTGGTGTGGTGGACGACGAAAGGTTGTGGAGACGTGGCATGTGTTCGGCGGCTTGCCCTGCTCGTCTCGAGGGGAGCGCGTGCTTGGCGTGTCCGGTTTGCTTGTTGGGCCGTACGCGGTATTGGGCCTGCCGAGGTTGGGCCCATACCGGAACACTAACTATGAACACTTGATGAATTAAAAAAAAAAGTTTTGGTTTTTAACAATATTAGTTGTATTAGTGTCAGCGACAAAAGCAATATTGTAAAATATGTTCCACTCCTCACTCGGCAGCTACCCATAATTGATAACACAATACTAAATCAAATCCTTATCAATTGACACCATAGCAAATTGTAAAGTCAACATACTAGGATTAAAACAACCTAAATTTTATAAATTAATTCAAGTGCAAACCAGGGCACTCCATAAACAAATACAAATAAATAGTGTAGTCAAATATTATAATTAAAACATACTAGAGAATATTATGCAATCTTCCATACCTACAAAGAAAAAAATGAGTATCAATGTCAAACTATTTTTCAACACTTGATCAATATCAATTATTTTAAAATGAGTATCATATTTGTGTGAGACTGTCGATGTGCATTTTCTTTAAAAAAATTGCCATTCAGTTTAATACAGACAGGAAGAAACTAGGCTTAAAAAAGAAAAGAGAATTCAAATTTACTCTAATTGATTACCAGTCAATTCAAGGGCGGATGATAACCAACTATGATCTTTGAATTGATATTATTTCACCCTGGAATGTGCAAATTAAAAATAAAATCAGAATCTTGCACAGAGAGTTTTTGCAAGAAAATTGAAACAAAGTCAATTCACCTATTGATATCTTACCTCGGCTTCTTGCTAGGATTTATGTCAGAGTTTGAGCATTTTCTAGATATAGCCATGACTTTTTCAGCCACCTAAGTAATAACAAACATTGCAATGTCAAATGACTAAGGCTTAATTACATTTTACTTGTCCTAAATAATACAAACTCACAAATTTAATCACTTATTTTAGAGCAAATAGAGTTCCCTCCCCCAAGAAAAACCTTTTGAATTTGGGAAAATGCGAGACCAAAATAAAAATCACACTTACATCTTTCACAATGCCTCCAACAAGAGGGGCGGATATGGGGAGAAGAGATAGTGTGTTTACGAGTATCCATTCTAAATATCTTTGAGTAATCAACTCTGATGTAAAAAATTGAATAACATTAGATTAAACAAAAAAACAAAAAGATACTAAATAAACAATGTACTTAAATTTTACTTTTTCCCTGTGTGAACCAAAAGGTGATATCATCTGCAAATTGTTGAGGAGTAGTTATGCATGGTTCATCAGGAGTAGTTATGCATGGATGACCAGGAGGAACATAGACATGAGAATTCCACAATTCTTCCAACAGCTCAAGAATCTGTTCTCTAAACAGTTTCACCTGGTGTTCTCCTTGCAAAGCTCCAGATTCAGAACCGTTGGTTTCATTCAAATGGGCCTTTAAATTGAAATGATGGGTTATTTTAAAGTCATAGTAAGCAGCATGCTAAGAAAAATGCTTAGTAAGTAAATACCTTCATCCCCATTATACGACGACTTTGGCTAATATTGGCTAGTCCGATTACTTCAACAGAGTCGTAATTACCTTTTGAGCATTCTTGGTACATTTCGCATAGTAGTACAGAAACCTAAATAAAGGTGGGATTTCAAAATTAAAAAGAGAAATGAAAGATGTAAAAGGAAAGTAAAATGAGAGACACGTATTAGAATATTATTAATAATTCATATTTATTTAGTTGTACTATTTTCTTAGCCCCTAAGTTTGTTAGAGGGTATTTTAGTATTTATCTTATTCTAGTAACCCTAGTTTTAGCTTATAAATAGGGTGACAATCATTGTAACAAAAATATCATGTTTTTGTAGCCGTCATTCTCTTATTAGTAATATTTCCTATTTCATCATTTATTCTATCTTTGCACCAACAATTGGTATCTAGAGCTCCGGTTCAGATTCATTGGGAAACACGGGAAACACGAGTGAACGTGAGGTCTTGTGTGTTTGATTTTGTTTCTCAGATTCTTGTTGAATCTTGAACAAAATCTGATCAGAATTTTTTAATTCTGTGGGTTGGGAAACACTGTGTGAGAAAACTCTGAGTGTATTGTGCAAAGTAGAAGATGAACGGAAACGGCAACATGAACACCAAACTTCCAGTATTTGACGGTAAAAATTGGAATCGTTGGATGATCCAAATGCGTGTACTGTTTGGTGCTCAAGATGTTCTGGATCTTGTCACTGATGGTTATGTTCCAGTAGCAGCAGATGCAACTGATGAACAGAAAAATGCGCAGAAAGAAGTAAGGAAGAAGGATCAGAAAGCATTGTTCTTCATTCATCAATGTGTGGATGTAAACGTGTTTGAGAAGATTGCAGACTCTACAACAGCAAAGGCTGCATGGGACACTCTGGTGAGATGTTATGGTGGTGACGCATCAGTGAAGAAGGTGAAGCTTCAGTCCTTGAGAAAGCAATATGAGAATCTCAACATGAAGAATAATGAGAAAGTTTCTGAATACATCTCCAGAGTGATTCTGATCACTAATGAGATGAAGGCATGTGGAGAAACTCTTTCTGAAGAAACAATCATGGAGAAAGTGTTGAGATCCCTTACTCCTCAATTTGATTACATTGTGGTAGCAATAGAACATTCCAAAGATCTGAGCACAATGAGAATTGAAGAGCTGCAGAGCAGTCTAGAAGCGCAAGAGTTGCGTCTGACTGAGAGAAACTCTGAAAAGGAAGTAGAACAGCAGGCTCTGAAAGCAACTTCTGATAGGAGGTATCAGAAGCAGTCAGAAGCCAAGAGAAGATCTGATGGTGGTCAGAAGTCAGAAACCTCAACCTCTGATAGACAAAAGAATGCTCAGAAGGGAAAAGAGAAGTATGACAAGAAGAAGATCCAATGTTACTGTTGTAAGAAGTTTGGTCACTTTGCTAGAGATTGTTGGTCAAACAAGGAGAAGAAATCAGAAGAAGCAAATATAGCCAGAAGTTCTGATGACGAATCTGTGCTATTGATGGCCTCTGAATCTGATGATCTGACAGACTGGTGGTATATGGACACTGGCTGTTCAAATCATCTTACTGGAAACAAGAAATGGCTGGTTGACTTTGACTCTGAAAAGAGAACAAAGATCAGATGTGCTGATGACAAATATCTTAATGCAGAAGGTATGGGAAATGTCAGAGTGACTCTGAACAATGGGAAAATAGCATTGATTCAGAATGTGTGGTATGTACCTGGCATCAGAAGCAATCTGATGAGTGTGGGACAATTAATTGAGAAAGGTTTCTCAGTTACCATGAAGGACAATCTTCTGAAGCTGTATGACTGTAATCAGAAGTTGATTATGGAGTCAGAACAGGGAAGGAATAGAACATTCAAGGTGAATGTCAGAACTGCAGACTCAGAGTGTCTTAGTGCAACAAGTACTGAGAAAGAGAGTGAGCTGTGGCACAGAAGATTTGGTCATTTGAATTTCAGAAGCTTACAACATCTGAATTCAAAGAAATTGGTACATGGAATTCCTGCAATTAAGAAGCCTGAAAAGTCATGCAAAGTTTGCATGGAAGGAAAACAACCAAGATTGCCATTTGCATCAGAAGTTGCTCCAAGAGCAAAACATGCCTTGGGAGTTGTACATTCTGATGTGTGTGGTCCATTTCCAGTAGCATCAATTGGAGGGAATAAATACTTTGTGTTGTTTGTTGACGAATTCACAAGAATGACATGGGTATCCCTTATAAAGTTCAAACACGAGGTGTTTGATGAATTCAAGAAGTTCAGAATGAAGGCTGAGAATCAGAGTGGTCAGAAGTTGAAGATTCTTAGAACTGATGGTGGAGGTGAGTATAACTCCAAAGAGTTCCAGAAGTTCTGTGAGGAGAATGGAATTGAGCATGAGGTTACTGCTCCCTATACCCCTCAACACAATGGTCTTGCTGAAAGAAGAAACCGCACTCTGCTTGATATGGTGAGAAGCATGCTAAAGGAGAAGAAGCTTCCTCAGAAGCTCTGGGGAGAAGCTGTTGCCACTGCAACGTATGTACTCAACAGATGTCCTACGAAGAAGTTGAAGGAAATAGTTCCTATGCAGAAGTGGACTGGAGACAAGCAAAGTGTTAGTCATCTGAAGGTATTTGGTTCTGTTTGCTATAAACATGTTCCAGAAGCCAGAAGACAGAAGCTGGATGATAGAAGCAAAGTGATGATTCTGATAGGGTACCACAGTACAGGTGCATACAAGCTCTATTGTCCAGAAACCAATAAAATTGAATTCAGCAGAGATGTGATTGTGAAGGAATCAGAAGTTTGGAATTGGGATAAGTCTCAATCTGATTCTGATGTTAGAACCTCTGAAGAAAGGCCAGAGTTAAGAATTTCTGAAGTTGAAGTAAACCCTGATATTGACTCTGACTCTGATACTGATTCAAACTCTGAAGAAGACTCAGAAGATGAAGGTGACCCAGATGACCCAGACTCTGATGATTCAGACTCTGATGGCAATCCAGATCTTGGTGGCAATTCAGACTCTGGAAATATGCCAGACTCTGAAGATGGTCAAAGCTCTGGAGGTCAATCATCTGAAGTTAGAAACTCTGAAGCTCAAGACTCTGAACAAGTTCAGAGACCACAAAGAATCAGAAGCGTTCCCAGAAGATTTGCAGAATTTGACATGCTGCAAGACACTGAAGTAGACTCTGAAGGAGAAGTTATTCAGTGTGCCATGTTAGTAGACTCTGAACCTATAAGTACAGAGGAGGCTCTTAAGCAGAAGCTCTGGCTGAAGGCCATGAAAGAAGAACTTGATGCTATAGAGAGAAACAAGACTTGGAAGCTGACAGAACTTCCAAAAGACAAGAAAGCCATCAGCGTCAGATGGGTTTTTAAGCAGAAGTTAAAGCCAGATGGCTCAATTGGCAAACATAAAGCAAGGTTGGTAGCCAGAGGATTTCTACAGAAACCTGGGCTGGATTATTCTGAAGTGTTTGCACCTGTAGCAAGACATGAAACAATCAGAATGGTGATTGCAATAGCTGCTAACAGGAATTGGCCTCTGATGCATTTAGATGTAAAATCTGCATTTCTGAATGGTCCATTAGAAGAAGAAGTTTACGTGTCACAACCTCCTGGATTTGTGAAAAAGAATCAGGAAGGGATGGTGTACAGATTATACAAAGCTCTATATGGATTGAAACAAGCGCCCAGAGCTTGGAATCAGAAGATTGATTCATTTTTCAAGAAGCAAGGCTTTCAGAAATGTGAGATGGAGTACGGTGTCTATGTTCAGCATACTTCTGAAGGCAATATGACTCTGGTATGTTTATATGTTGATGATATACTATTGACTGGAAGTTCTGAACAGGAGATAGCCAAGTTCAAGAAGGTTCTAATGAATGAATTTGAAATGACTGATCTAGGCAAAATGACATACTTTCTAGGGATGGAGTTCAGATATTCTGAGAAAGGTATCATTTTGCATCAGCTCAAGTATGAATTAGAACTTCTGAAGAGATTTGATCTGAAGAATTGTAAGATGGCTGTCACACCTTCTGATACAAATCAGAAACTGGATTCAGACTCTGAAGGAAAGGATGTGGATGCTACAACCTTCAAACAGTTGGTTGGTTCTCTGAGGTATCTGTGCAATACCAGACCTGATATTTGCTACTCAGTTGGGATGGTTAGTAGGTTCATGAGTAAACCTAAGTGGTCCCATTACCAAGCTGCTGTCAGGATTCTGAGGTATATCAAAGGAACTCTGAAGTATGGAGTGTTATTTCCCTCTGGAGGAAATAATGAGTCAGAACTTCTGAGTTATTCAGACTCTGATTGGTGTGGAGACAGAGTTGACAGAAGAAGTACATCTGGGTACTTGTTCAAATTTCTGGGAGGTCCCATTTCTTGGTGTTCCAAGAAGCAACCTGTTGTGGCGTTGTCAACCTGTGAAGCTGAATACATTGCAGGTGCTGTTACTGCATGCCAAGCTGTGTGGATTCTGAATCTGTTGCAGGATCTGAAGATTAAAGTAGACAAACCTCTGAAGTTGATGATTGACAATAAGTCTGCAATCAATCTTGCTAGAAACCCAGTGTTGCATGGGAGAAGCAAGCATATTGAGACCAAGTATCATTTTCTGAGACATCAAGTTCAGAGTGGAGTGTTAGAAGTTGTACACTGCAGCACTCAGAAGCAGTTGGCAGATGTTCTGACGAAAGCTATCAAAACTGATCAATTTCTCAGATTAAGGGATGGAATTGGTGTCACAAGTTTTGATGGAATATGAATTAAGGGATGGTATTAGAATATTATTAATAATTCATATTTATTTAGTTGTACTATTTTCTTAGCCCCTAAGTTTGTTAGAGGGTATTTTAGTATTTATCTTATTCTAGTAACCCTAGTTTTAGCTTATAAATAGGGTGACAATCATTGTAACAAAAATATCATGTTTTTGTAGCCGTCATTCTCTTATTAGTAATATTTCCTATTTCATCATTTATTCTATCTTTGCACCAACAACACGGACCTCAAATGAAGTGTTGTCAAATTCACCAGTCTCGTTGAATAAGAGATTCATAAAATGCCTAAGGGTATGCTGGATTGACCTAGGACTGAGTTCTCCTCCCTTGGACTCGTATTCAACAAACCTTTTATAAATGCCATTACGTAGTTCGAACGCTCTTTTGGAAAAGTAAGGTCTCTTACGATCCTCGTCCAATGCTCGAATCCTCCACCAAAAGTTGAGGATCAAATTGATTCCTTCTTTAAACATTTTCATTTCTTCGGATGACATTACGATAAGGAAGACAGAAGCCGATATCAATGGTTTAGGCTTTCGATTGTGAATTCCCCCCTACCTCGAAAATTAGCTCAGATTGAAGACGAAGACTCTGAACCCTAGCTCCTCGTCCAATGCTCTCCCCAATTCCTCTTCCTTCTTCTTCTTTCCCGTGTTTTCCTTTCTCTCTTCCTCCAAATACCCTTCTTTTCTCTTCTTTCCCAAACTACCCCTCATTAACTTATTTCTCCTCTCTTTTATTCCAATTTCTTACTTCCTTTAATCCATAATAATTATATTACTCCAATTTCTTTTTATTCCATTAATAATAATAATCATATTAATAATAATAATAATACTAAAAATATTACTATTATTCACTTAAAGTATTATTATCATTAATAATCATATTATTAATCTTAAAAATCCGAAATTATCCAATAAACTCCAATTTAAGGGCTACACGCAATCGCACTCAAACATCCCCACAAAACACGCCGAAAAGAAAATACACAGAAAAACGAAATAATTAAAATGGGCGTTACAGTCGACATGTATTTTCAACATTGATGTTCGGTTGTTTCACTATTTTATGGTTTACATAATGTTTCCAAGGGCTGAAAACCACTGCATTGTGACTGATTTAGAAATGTTGATCTTATACACTATTAATCATGACATTGAAATAAATTAGGCTTATTTAATCTTGGTTCACATGCGCGGAATCAACGAAAAATCAAAGTTTTTGCCATATGCATGGTTCATCACAAAGATTTTAGAACATTTTGAAGTAGATTTTGAAGGGTTTGATAAGTGTCTCGTGGACTCAAATATCAACAAAATATCCATAAAAAATGTGGACCCTCGGATGGGTGTCAAATACAACCCAGAAACAAAAACCATTGTTTACCTTGGTGAAGGTATGGCTGAAAATGATGAGCAAGAGAATGAAGACGGTGATGATGTTCCTCCTCCTCATGAACATGGCCTGAGTAACCAGCAATTGATGAATTACATGACTCAACAGTTTGGAAATCTCAACACTTCTATAAACAATCAATACAATGCTATTCAGGAGTCAACAAACACTCGGATCAACAACTTCCAAGAGGCCGTCAATCAACAATTCTCATATATTTACTCTCACTTATACATTCCGCCCTATTCAGGAGTCAACAAACAAGAAAAACATGCATTTGGTCGAAATTACGTATTAGTAACTTTGATGTAGAAAAAGTTAAAAGTTACATTGCATTACCATGGAGATGAGATTCTAAGGATCCCAAAGGCAAATAGTCATACACAAGAAGCCGTTGGTCGCCTTCAGCGCAATAACCGATCATACTAACAAGGTTAGGATGTTGTAGAAGAGAGAGCATGAGAACCTCTACTAAAAATTCTTTCTCCCCTTGGACACCAGTTGTATCAAGTCTTTTAACAGCTACCATCTGATCATTTACATCACATAGTGGATTTATGAGTATTTGTAAATAAGAAACGGGTACGAAAAAATCGTTCATTCTTTGAACTATAGTACCTGATTAGTTTTATCTAGTTTTCCTTTGTAAATAGTTCCAAATCCACCTTGTCCAATAGAGGTTTCATCCCTAAAATCTGTTCTCTAAACAGTTTCACCTGATGTTCTCCTTACAAAGCTCCAGATTCAGAACCGTTGGTTTCATTCAAATCGGCCTTCAAATTGAAATGATGGGTTATTTTAAAGTCATAGTAAGAACCCTAATGTTATCATGCATTATGCTCCTAAAGTTGGGATTAAGAGGGAAGAAGCTATCCTAATGTTATCATGCAAAGGATTGAACACCTAATGTCTCTCCTAATCCCATATTAAACAGAGAGTTTAGGAATCTAAAGGGGATCAGGGCAAAAGGCCAAGTAAACAACAGATAATTCAATCACAGATGAAATGAAGAATGAAAAGAAGTTGACTTAAACAAGTCAAAAGTTATGAAAACATGATATGCAAAGGTGACCAAATGAAATGCAAGACAAAATTATGCAACAAAGATAAAGCAAATGGTTCAATCAAATGGACTTAAGCAAGTCAAAAAAAAAGTGAGATGAAATGGGAGAAGTTACAACTCCTACAACCATTCAAACATTAATAACTATAACCAAAGTTAAACACAAAGCAAGAACAAAAGTCCATGATCAAAAGGGAGGTGGTAGAAAGAGGCTTGGGCAGCAAGAAACATGCAAAACATATCAACCAAACAACTCAAGTTGACCATGTAAAAGAAAGGAGCAAAACAAGTGCTAAAAGAGATGCATCATTCAAGGCAAACTCAAAATATGAATATGAATACCAAATCACCTTGAATGATGATCAAAGCTCATGGGGCAGAAGTGGAACCATAAGGAGGAAGTCCATATCAAAGTTGAAAACAAAGTACAAGCATCATACAAGTCATGGAAAATGGTGGAAACAAAGTTCCATAACCAATTCAATACTTAGAAACAAGTGGAAATGCCTAAATTCTAAGTAACTTGTAAAACAAGTTACACAAATGTATGACCCACAAATGAAATACCAGAACCTTGAGCAAGTTATAAACATGTAGCAACACTCACAAGATACATATGGGGTCATTAGAAATCATTTCCCAAAGAAACTAGGTCAAACTAGCTTGTATGAACACCTTCAAAGGTGACTTGACTTGCAAGGTTCACCAAAAATGTAAGGATTGTTCAATAAATGCCAAATAAAATACACAAAGTAGGTAAAACCAATGAAAAACAGAAGCCAAAGTTTCAAAGTGAAACTCACCTCAAGGCATCACCAAACAATTCCATTGTTAAAAGTACTCCACCTTATCGAGGGAAATAAAAAACCAACTCAAAGTCAATCACAACATGATCAAACATGGACCAAAACCACCCTTTAGGATGCCCCAATGCCTCACCTAAGTGAAGGAGAAGCCATGGTCATATGTGAAACCCTAATTTCATCCCCTTTGCTTAAGCCTTTTGCAGATGAATTGAATGACTATTCCAATTCCATAATAGCCTTTAAGGTACTCAATATATCTCTATCCAATGCTTACCCCAATGATAAGACCTCATGAACTCTTGACAAGTCCTCTAGTGGTTCTCAGACAAGGAGCTATAACAAACCTCTCATCTCAAGGAGCTTTGACAACCTCATGACAATACCAAACACTTAATGACTTGTCTAATGCCTTTGCTTAAACATGTAGCCAATAAGACTCTCGTCTTGGATGGCACACAAACAATATCTTGATCCCCTGTAAGAACAATGCTATGCAAATTCAAGATGCAAAAATGTAATTAAACACAAGCCAAGCAAGAAAAAAGGGTTGGTCAAATTTTAAGGTACAACACCACCAAGATAAAGCGATGTCCATTGGATGCAGTCGGTTCGATCTTACCAATCATATCAATGCCCCACATAGAAAAGGGCCAAGGAGATGCCAAGACATTCAGAGGACTTGGCGGCACATGCATTTTATCAGCATAAATCTGGCATTTATGGCACTTTCTGGTGTATTTGAAATAATCAGACTCCATAGTCATCAAGTAGTAGCCTGCTCTCAACAGTTTCATGGACATCGCATGCCCTCCAGCGTGTGTACCGAAGAAACCCTCGTGGACTTCTTCCATTAGCAATCTTGCTTCATTTTCGTCCATACACCACAACAATACCAAGTCGAAGTTTCTTCTGTAAAGCACATCGTCCTTAATCAAATAGAAGTTTCCCGCCAACCTCCTCAGGGTCTTCTTATCCCGGCTCGATGCCCCGGCCGGATACTCCTGATTCTTGAGAAAGTTTCTGATAACATAATACCATGACTTCCCATCCGATGTCTCTTCTACTGCAAATATGAATGTCGGCCTGTCGAGGCGCATGATAGTGATCATTGGAGCTTCATTCCAATAATTCACTTTGTACATCGATGATAAGGTTGCCAAAGCATCTTCCATATGATTCTCGTCTCTTGGCACTTGATGAAACTCTAATCTGTCAAATAAAGGTAACAACCTTCTTGCATAATTCATGCTAGGTACCAGATTGGGCTGACGAGCCTCCCATTCTCCTTTGATCTGATTAACGACCAAAGCTGAATCACCATATATATATCAAGGTTCTTGATTTGCAATTCAATAGCTTCTTTAATACCCATGATACATGCTTCATACTAAGCTTCGTTGTTGGTGCATGAAAACGTTAATTTGGCGGTAAACAGTATGTGGGAACCGTTAGGCGTTGTAATGATTACCCCAATTCTGCTGCCATAAGAGTTAACAACACCGTCAAAAATCAACTTCCACTGGGAGCCTATCTCGGGACCTTCGTCTAGTAGTGGCTCATCGCAATCCTTCATCTTTAGAAACATTATGTCCTCATCGGGAAACTCAAATTTCATCGGCTGATAATCTTCGATCGACTGCTCTGCGAGATATTCTGACAAAACACTCCCCTTAATGGCTTTTTGGGAGACATATTGAATATCGTATTCTGTCAGAACCATCTGCCAACTAGAAATTCTTCCAGAAAGTGCTTGCTTCTTGAACACATACTTGATTGGATCCATCTTTGAAATCATCATGGTTGTGTGATTCAACATGTACTGCCTTAGGCGATTGGCTGCCCAAGCAAGTGCACAACATGTCTTCTTTAGCATTGAGTATCTGGACTCACAATCTGTGAACTTCTTACTCAAGTAGTAAATAGCATGTTCTTTTATGCCCATCTCATTGTGCTAACTGAGAACACAACCCATGGAATTCTCAAGAACCGTCGGGTACATAATCAAATGTCTTCCTGCCACTAGAGGCATCAGTAACGGAGGCTCCTGCAAATATTCTTTTATTTTTGCAAATGCCCTTTGACAATTTTCATTCCAGATAACCGTCTGATATTTCTTTAATAGCTTGAACAAGGGTTCACGGGTGGCTATAAGGTGAGATATGAACCTTGCAATGTAGTTCAATCTCCCCAGAAAACCACGAACCTCTTTCTCTGTTTTTGGCGCTGG